TCTTGAATGAAATAAAATGGAAAAATAACATTGAAAACTAAGAAAATATGATGGAAATTGATAAATCTAGGTTGATGTGTCTTTTTCAAAACACTAAATGTTCCTAACAATGACCCTGATTAAAACTCAGCTAATGGGGGAAGGGCAGTCACAGGTAAGATGAACATGAGATAGAGGTGAGTTGAGATATGAACATGTGGGTTACTTTTTGGTGAGCTAGAAGTCCAGAGTTAGGCTGTGATTCACAAATATCTTCTCTAGCTCAAGCTGGTTCCCCTTGCAGGAACTCCACACCAAGTTTAGCCTCCAGCTTAGAAGCCGTTGAAGCACTTCAGGGATAGTTCTGGTCTAACTGATTGTCTAAAGGGTATTATTGCAAAACAAGCGTGGCTGGAAGATGCAGACAAACTTATGTGTCTGAAAGTGTTGTCTCTTTTAACTAGTCTAGTTTGGGTTTAATAAAAAAATGCTATAACTAGAGACTTTAAGTTTTCCCCCTTGGTTCCCTCTTTGTGACTGGAGATCGCAAGTCAAAGTCAGGATTTTCTGAACTTTTGGATGTATTGCTTTCTTTTGAAAGCTGGATGAATGTATCTGCAGGTTTCCCTAATGGAGGAGGGTAAGGAATGCATAAATAATTTTGTAGGTTTCCTTCCTTAGTTATAAGCACAGTGGGTGAAAGGGGTCCATTTTTGTAGATTGCTGCTTTGAGTCTAGCTACAGAGAGGACCTATTATAATGTGGATTGACTGAGTTGATGAGATTTTTCCAAGGCTGCTAGGAAGCTTTGAGAATTGCAAAGGAGATGTTTCAAAAGAAATAGTTCTGCAGATGTGCCCTAGCTTTAACTTCCCAGATGCAGAAACAGTTCTGTTTTATGCACAAATAATACACTAACTGAATCATGTCTTACTGTGAGAAAGAAACTTTACCTTTTGCTCATTTAATCTGTCATGCTACATCGTGAATGTACTTAGGGAGGTGCTTGATTTTGGAACCCTTCTGGAAAAACTGGCTTATTTTAGTCTTCATAAACCCCCCTAAAATCATATCTTAAAACAAGGAAATAATCTCTTTTTTTATGCTTTATTCATAGTCTGGCTACACAACATATTGCATGTTTCATCTGTAATTGTAGCATTGCTGCTTTGATTTGTGCCAGTGTTTCCCACAACAGCAAAGGAAAGGAGTTTAGAAGAATAAGCAATTTGGTTATGAAGCTGCAGTTATTTGGGGAAATAGCTATATGACGTATGTTGTCTGTAATAAATGGAATTACTATCTTAATTCTAAAACTAATTACTCTTCTGTTTGCTAGCTGAACGACAGATTTCTCCTTTAATGAATACTTACTCTTCTGTACAGAAGGGACAGTCACAAGCTTGCAGTCAGCCAGGGAGGACAGTAGTAGTCCATGCTTGGTGGTGGGTGCTCCTTGTGAGATAAGCTGAAAATCTGAATCTCAAAGGTGAAATTATTGTCTGTTTCTGAGCCCTAGTAACTGGCAAGTCTCCAGCTGGCTTGTGTCATTGCTATAGCAGGCTGATCCTGCCTTGCTTTTTCTCCCATTTTTCCAAAACTCCAACTGAAAGAACCGACTGGATGTAGTTCATGCATTACACTTCATATGGAAAATAGGAATAAGCATCCTTCAGTTGCTTGGTCCTGGCTTCCTATTGAGTCTGACAGTTGCTGAGCACACCTAGAAAGAATTCAGCTGCTTCTAGCAAAATAGGATGGGACAAAAGCTGAGCAGAAGCTTTATGAGTTTGGTATTAAACTTTGGAGCATCAAAGTTGGCACTATAGCACCATTCCCTGATGAAAGTAGTCCCAAGTCCTGGGGGTGATAGTGCAGCTCAATGCTGTTTTTTTTTAAAAAAAAAAGTTTTATCTTAATCTTAGATGTGATTCTTGAGCACAATTCTGCTGCAGAAAACTCCGCTCAATGTGTAATACAAATTAAGCTACTGAGGTATGTTTTATACACGCATCACACCTTCACTTAATATACTTTAAGTTTGGGTTTAATTACTGCCCCATGTTGAGGTGTTTGCTTGGATCACTTGCCAGAAATGTTGAGCACTGTAGCTAGGATGTGGGAAATGCGTTGTTTCTGATTTAATCAATCCATAGGGCTGAGTGGAAGCTGGCGTACAAGGTTAGAGACTGTGCAAACCCAGGATGAAATGACACCTCTACTGACAAAGCTCTTTATAGAAGCAGCAAAACAGCAATCATAAAACCAATTCAGGGCAATATTTTGAGTGTTACTAATCAAATGGCGCACTGGAAAAGACCGCTGTGACTTTGCGTGGCCTAGATGGCACTCTATCCTTGCTGACTTTAAATATATTTTTACAAATAAATAAAACCGAACTTTTCCTGCTTTCCCTTGTTCTAAGTAACATCTAATAAGCATTACATCTAAGCTTTATCATGGACTATAGGTGAAAATTTTTCACTGAATTTTTTTTATAAAATATTTGGCCATGGAAGAACGTCATGATTATCGGGGCAATCAAATAATTACTACAACACAAGTCCTCAGCAGTTATGTTGAAGTATCATCAAGCTGCTTTTCCTGATGTGTGTGAAGTTGAGACCAGCCCTTAGACAGCTTTTAAGTATCAGCTTGATTCGTAAGTCGCAAGAAGATAAGCAGAGACCAGTTCTTGTGATTGTCTTTTCTGTTTTTTGGAAATGCACGACCATCCTGAAGACAGTGAGGTTTTTCTGCATTTGTTTTGATGGGCTTGAAGGAGAAAGGTACCCTCAGGAGCACCCCTATGTCTGCAGGCAGCGCCCTGCTTTGCCCAGGGGAGCTCAGCTGTGGCCGTGCCCTGCCATGTGGCACAGCGGAGGTGCTGGGGTAGCCAGGGCAGGGCAAGCTGTGTTCCCTGTTCCCTGCCATGTCATCCCAGCATGTCTGTGCCCCTCTAAGGGATGAGAGCAGGTCCTCTGGAGTCCAGTGTTCGGCACTGCTCCTTCCCTTTTCTCTACCTGTCCTGTTTCCACTTGCTTTTATTTAATGTTAGCAATTCAATTTTCAGAGAGGTGAAAGTTCTAACCCTAGTGTTTAAGTTAAAATTGCTGACACATTTGCAACAGCACTTTCATCTGTGTTATCTCCAGAGAGCTGCTTGTATCTGACCTTGCTCTGCATTTTTACCCTTGTGCATCTTTGACTTGATCAACTCAGAGCAGCACATGCTGGGTACTCTTGAGCTGAGGAAACAGCTTGATCCACAGGGAAAAACATGGGATAAGGGGTAGCAATCGGAAGTGTTGAGATTCTATTTTACTTTCAGGTAATCTCTATTTTCTATACAAACATGCTTTTGGTACACAGTCTAGATTAAGAACAGTAAAAATAAACCTTTCAGTGAAACTTTATTGATAAAGTGTCACAGCTCTATGTTGTGAAGCTCTGAGTTCTTTTTTGCACTGCAGAGCTTTAAATTAAATTTTCTGAGAAAATAGTGATTCAAGCACTGCTTCAGGTGGCAAAGGCAATGTGTTGAAAGTGAAGTGCAGCAGCAGGTAAGTAGAGATGTTAGTGGCTTACATAGCTTTTACAGAAATGTTTGCACCTCATTCTTACCGTGTACCAGACTTCCAGGTGATGTTTTGGGGGGCAGTTATTTTAGTCATTAAATGTTGATTTTATGTTGAACCTCTTACGGTTGGAGGCTTTTTCCTAATATTCCCCTTTACACTAATGAGTGACTGTTAGGTGTTAATATGAGGCTAGCAGCTGGTTGCTCAGTGCCTCCAGATGAAGTATGCTCAAGTGTGCTCGAAACTTAATAAAACTCTTTATAATTACCTTTGGATATGAAAGACTTTCTGCAGACTGTTCAGTCTCTTAGAGTAAGTTAGAAAATTGCTTGCTTAACCACCTTACCTTCCTGTGCCATGCCGCTTGTATGTATCAGAGTTCAGTACGGTTCCATGGCTGCTTTTTGACCGACCTGCTCTTAGCATGTGCAGCATAACTGCTAGAGGAGGGCGGTGGTGGTTTACTGTGTCCTGTGCTTTCTGCCCAAAGGGCTCTTCTGGTAAGTCTGACTCATGGGCCCCAACACGAAGTCATGGCCCTCCTTCCAGATGTGGTACGTTGGGGTTGTGTGATGGATCTATGGGCCTGTGGCATGTTATGCTTTTGGCAGCTGGAGATGCGAGATACCTGCAAACTTAATTCTTCCTGGCTTGTGCCTCCCTGCAGTGATACACTTGGTTAGTAGTTGTGTTGGTGCAAGCTGAACCTTGTTAGCTCAGAGTCGAGGGAGGAAAGGGGCATGGTTTTAGTGACTAAAATCTGTGGAGTCACTCAAGGAGTGGGTACTCTAAGCTTAGTTTTTAGTCATACAAGCCTTCAGACTGTTGCTGGATGTGGTTGGTCTCTAATAGAAAAACTCATCAGAGCAGTATTGCGGAAATACTTCCTCGTTAGGATGGAGTGGGTTACACATTTTTGTGATACTGAGAAACTAACCTAGTTTGTCATTAATGAAACAGAACATATTGCAATGCAAATGAGTGGAGTTGCATGACAAGTGGTCCCACAGTCCTCAGCACTTGCTATTGATTGTGTAGTCTTAATTATTCATGCTATGCAAATTGCATTTCTCATCTTGCTCCTTCTTGTCTACATATTTTTGATACAGGACTTGCCTGCAAACACTCTTGTTCTTTCAGTTGAGAGATGAGGATTGTTTCTGGCAAAGTTCTTAATGTTCCTTTGAGTGAGTACTGGCTCAGCTGGGCAAGGCTCAGGAGCTCTGTCAAAATGAATTCATCTTGCTGTAACTTCAGATGAAGAAAGGGAAGAGTTTGTGGAGTATTATATGATAAGAACAAAAGCTTTAAAATAGTTTTCAACTTACTTTGTTTTCTATACCGAAGCCCTTGTGGTACTTCTTTTCTGGTCAGTTGTTTGGAATAGACATGTGGTAGTGTTCTTTTATTCATCCTAAATATTATTTTGCATTTCAGGTATACTAAACCACTGACCTTTGCAGACTGCATTAGTGATGAATTGCCATTAGGATGGGAAGAAGCTTATGATCCTCAGGTTGGAGTTTATTACATAGACCACAACACCAGTAAGTGACATGTTATTGTATTTTTACAGTGATTGTTCTGTGCCTGTGTTAAAATACACCACACAAAACCACAAGATAGCTAACAGCATGCTTTAGAGTAGATGAGATCTGCAGCTCGTGAAATCAAATCCTGTCTTCCATCACACAAGTTACTTCCCTCTCTAAAACAGGATTTTTGCTTTAGAGCTTTTGGTTTTCAGTCTTCAGATCAGCAGTCATGTTCAAGCTGATACTATGGACACACCTCTGTAAGATTTGGCTCTACTGAGGAGCCTGACTAGGTAGCAATGATCTGGAGTTTGTTCTTAGCCTGGAATTTGTCCTTGTGGCAAGACCATCGGAAACAGTGCAAAGGTCTTGTGTTTGTTCCCCTGGCAGGGATAGACTGAATGACTGCATGAGCTCCCTGAGCTGCAGCAGTTTGCACTGCCTTTACTGGAGAGGAAACTCTCGAGTAGGCTTGGGATATCCTGAGGGGTGTGCAAGTTGGAAAAGAGTTAAGTTCAGGCCTGTGGTGTTTTTATTCTGTACCCTCAAACTAATCCACTGCTTACTTTGTTAGATTGCTTGATAGACCAGAAGTGTTAAGCTTTATAAGCTCATTTGAATTATAAGAAAACACAGACCTTGATATATCATTACAGATGTTGTTAGGAAATGTGTATTGGGTTGTGCTAGAACAAATCCAGATAGAAAAAGCAACAAACAAAATAAATCAGTGACTTTTGTTCTCTTTACAGAATAGCTCCAATTGCAGTCCAGAAGTTCACAGCAGAACCATGCCCAGGCCCTTTTAGAGGTGTTTGTAACTCATGCAAAGAGAAAAACTTTTAAAAGACAAAAGTGCCTTGAAGATTTTTGTTTCTTTTAAATCTGCTTCTAAGACTTCAACTGAACTTTTGCCATTTTTTTTCAGCAAGTTACAAGATTTTTTTTTTAATAAAAATGTGGAAGCCTGATTTTTTTTTTTTTCCCCTTTGCTATCTTCACACCCTTCCCTTTTTCAGAAAAGCCACATTTTCACCTGGCCTGAGACTGCACCTTCCAGGTTTTAGCAACTTATCCTGGTTAAAATGCAGAGTGAAAAAAGCCTATTCTCAAAAACTACTACCTGCCCTCTGCAATACAAAGATCAAATGTCTCCAGATGTGAAGGTGACAAATATTTTTATTTAGAGCTTATGTCATCCCAATATCACAGTATTTACATATCTTTAAATGTTTTTTTCCTAATTATTTTTCTGTGAGGCAGGGGATGTTGATTTTTCCTTTTACAGGAAAGGATAGCAGGGAAGGAAGGGTAGACAAGAATACAGGATCACACAAGGGAGATCTGCAGGGGAGAGGACTGGACAAACTTTGCTTGAGAAGGTGCTAAATTGCGACACAAATTGGGGTCTCTTCTAGATCTTTAAGACCATGTCTTGCGTCCATTTCACTTCTACAGGAAAGGTTGCTTTTTAAAGACAATGTGAACCTTAATGATTTTTCTAGTCTCACTTGTCTGGGTTATTCCTGTGCTTACAAAAGGAATAAGAGCTGAGTTTAGAAGTCTTGCTTTTTACCTCCTTCTGAATGATTTAATGTTTTCATGACTGTGCACAGCCAGGAAGGGAGAAGAGCCTGGGCAAGCTTTTCAGAGGAGTCAAAAGTATGGTTGGACTTCCCTTCTCTGGTGGTTGGAGGCTTGCTATATCAGGTGCTGGGATGTGGGAGGTGCCTACCAGGGTGCTCCAGGCCCAGACAGGGGCATGCCACCTTCCAGTGACTCTGAAGGGCTTTGCTGTGTTAGGCAGCAGTGTTAGATTAAGAAATTCCTACCAATTCAGTTTTATCTGTACAGTGCTTTTGGAGAAGCTGTTTGTTCTCTGTCCCTTCCTCGTGAAGCTTGCTGTGGGACATGGAAGCTTGTCGGATCTCCTGGGTGTTTCAGCTAGCAGAAACAGCAGCATGTAGTTGGGACAAACCAAACATGATCTTAGTTGTACATTTCAGTTGGCCCCAGGGTGAATGTGCAACGATCTGGTTGCAGGTCTGAGCCCTTGTGGTCTGGGGCAGTTACCCCTGGTCTGTGCCTCTCAAAAGCACCACAGGCTTCAAGGGTGTGCAGAGAAGTCTTCAAACCATGCTGACGCCTGCTTAATAGCAGTTGCTCTTAAAAAGTTTCACTTCTATGGGATGCTGGAGGCTACAAGACTTGACCTAGAATTTCAGTTAAAAGGTTAAAAAGAAGAGAAACAAAATCATGACCCTATTTCTTAAGCCAGCTCTAATCCAAATCATGATAAAGCAAACCATATCCACGTACCTTCAGCTAATCAAGAGGCTCATCTTTGTGGTTTATGTTGAAGTATCCTCTGGAGAGTGTCCAAAACCTCCTTTCTCCCCAAGGTCTCTTGCAGATTCCCTATGCAGGAAGGAACTGTCATCAGAGGGTGTGAAGGGGATGGAGGCATGTTGGTTCTTGCTGTGCTCTTGAAGTATTTGAGACTAATTATCAGCAACAAGCCCAAGGACAGACCTAAATTAAATCTAAAGCCAGGAGCAATTAAAAAAAGTGAGATGGAGAACACTTCTAACCTTCTCTCTGAGGCAAAATAAATACAGTTAAATTTAATTGAGTACCCAGAATATTCCTAATACAGTACTAATGCATAGCCCTGAGTGTGTGTGTCTCTGAGAGAACTTTGGAATTTGATTTGCACAAAGAAACGATGATTTTCTTGCCAGATGCTGGTGCAAGCATAGTAAGACTACGTTCTTCAAACATGAAACAATTGGATTTATTTATGACAAGCTCAACATTAAATTAAAAATTCACAAGATAACAAATGATGTAATAGCTTGCATATCTGTAGTCCTTTAATCTGACTTTTGAATGTATTTTGCATTTCTCAGTAGCTGGGACAAATCGAGAGCCCTTGGCCAACATTTTCATAGATTGTTGTTACATGTTTGAAAATCAAAGCTGCAATCAAGGGGATACAGTTAGTGCTGTGATTACTGAAAAGGTTGAGGTGAATACTTAGAAAAATGGGAACAAAGCAGTTTCAGTCCATAAGTGTGTTTCCCATCCTCTCTGTGAGCTGGCTGCCAAGCATTCTCTTTGTCAGGTGGCATGTGTGTTTGGGGCAGTGTCAGTGTTTCGCTGCCTAACGGAGGTGTTCAGGATGATGTAGATTTTTATGGTCGTCGTCTTGGTTGCTTATAAGGGAGGGATTTCCCTGCAGCAGCTTCCACTGCCCCTCTTGCCATTATAGGAAGAACGGGCTGCTAGTTTAAGAGAAAACTGGAAATAACCAAGCTTGAAGAAGCCGTGGGTACAGGTAGACTTATGACCCGGTGTCCTGAATTAGACTTCAAGAGTTGTGGGTACTTTGCCAACATACTCATTAAGCTTTAAATTGAGTCCTAAGTCGTGGTTGCTGGTGTTTGTTCATTCAGTCTGGTCCAGGGAAGCTGCATGTCTAGAAATATGGGGGGAAGCTCTCTGGGTAACTTACAGTGGACTTTCCCCTTCTGGTTCAACTATGGAGTAAAGGGAGTTACTCTATCTGGGTGTGGGTAATGGTTATCTGGAAAATGGGATGTGGGGGCAAGAATAGAGACAGGAGCCTGGGGTTTTCAGACTCTTACAGTTGATACACTGCTGTGTCTTCTTGACTTTTCTTTTGCTCCCTCTAAGAGAGACCATAGAGCTGTCAGAGCAGCACAAATAGCTGCTTTTTCCTCAAGTTATTTTGGGGCAGTTGTCCAGGTCCAGGCTTAGCTTTAATATTACATCAGCTGAAATGTTGCTTCTGCTAGCAGGACCTATAAAGGACTTTTTGTTGAAATGCTTCTACAAACGACTGTTAGTGTCTTAAAAGTTTTTTTTTTTTAATCACCTTTTGCAGCCTCTCTAAGTTTTGCTGTGTTACTTGAAATACTATGTGTTCTTTGGGGTCTTGAGATACTATTAAAACAAGTTATTGCTGGAGTATCCTGTTAATCTTCTCCTCAGCATCATCATGGACAGCTTGTGAAAATGGTTGAGTTGTCCAACCCTTGGGTAAAATCCTTTATTTCTGGTTCTGCTCCTAGGCTTATTGTCAAACTGTTCTCTTCCCTACATCCTGTATATTGCAGTGTTAGTCTTATGCCTGACTTAAGAACTGCTCATACCTTCCACCGTGGCAGCTTTTGCTAAATATTTAAAGAGGCTCTTAAGATATGCAGATTAGATTCCTACTGATAGTTTCAAGCAGCTCCTTGTTATTAGTTATTCATTATGTGGTAACTAGGCATCCTTATTCAAGCATGGTAGTTTAGACAGTTTAGAGCACTTAGTCAACTCAATAGTGGAACCTGTTCCAAGCAAGAACATGTAACAGCCTTGAAAGAGAAATGAAAAATATTTTGGACACTTCTTCACAAAACTGAGACAAATACTGACAATAAATTTGCCTAATTAGTATTAGGACTAGCTGTGTGTTTGTGACCTTACGCCTTTTTCATGATTAGAAACCTGAGAAGCAATGTATTGGTTGTGTTGGGGTGACAGAGATGGAAGTGGTGTAGCTGTTCATGACTGCGTTGCCTATGTTACCAAGAAATATTTTTCTTAAACTCTGCCTCTGGTATTCTGCAGTGATTTACTGCTGTTGCCTGCTTTCAGTGAAGGAAATGTTTTCTCCTCTTCTGAGATGCTGTTTATATAATGTCATTTGAGATGCTTTTGTGAATACATTCTATGATTTAATGAGTCTTTATTTTTACTTACCTATGGAATCTAAGTGAGAAGGTTTGCTACCCCCTTTTTAATAAAAGCTGCTTGGCAGCCAAAGAGGACAGGCAGAGTTGTAATTGCTTTCATGTTGTCAGATGCAGTATAATGCAGTCATGTGGCAATGATGCTTTCTGAAAGTTTTTTATCAGTGAAATATTAGAGGTATTTTACTAGTAATGTTCTAAAGCAGTTACAATAAAGGTAAGTCTAACAGTCAATGTCAGTACCTTACAGCTTGTCTGTGCATATGCTTGTGTGGATGTTTTAAGAGGCAGAACCAGGATGGCTTCAGCAGCAGAGGAGTTGGAGAGTTGTATGATGATTTTGTCATGAATTGTTCTATGCAGTGATTCAGCATGGCAGAGCTCACTGGATTTCATTGTGGATCAGTGGTGACCTCCTAAGAAAAAAGGAAAATGTTCTTATTCTACATTTTTATTAGGGGATAGGGCAAGGGGCTATTTTAAAATACTACCATAAATGGTGGAGCTTCTCCAGGCAGCACTACAAACCTGCTTTCCATTGATCTGGCCTCTTTTTTTTTTCTCTAAGAAACTACACAGATAGAAGACCCTCGTGTGCAATGGCGACGGGAGCAGGAGCATATGCTGAAAGATTATCTTGTCCTGGCCCAGGAGGCGATTGCTGCACAGAAGGAGATCTATCAAGTGAAACAGCAGAGGCTTGAATTGGCCCAGCAAGAATATCGGCAGCTGCATGATGTTTGGGAGCACAAACTGGGCTCTCAGACCAGCTGTGAGTAGTTAGTGAACTCTTATCCAGTGACTTTTTCAGTCATGAACCACTAGGACAGTAAAATACTTGAAGCTGGTCCTCTGATAGAGCACTGGGATGTGTTAATGCCATTCACTCTCCACGTTTGCTCAGTTTGTCTCAAAAGCAGTAGCTGCCTAGCTCCTATTTGGTAAAGGATAATTGTTATGAAACACTATTGCGGTTGGCTCAGTCACTGGAGTCAGTGTGCAGGTTTTCAGCATGGGCTTCAACAAATGTGAAAAAATGTGGTAATTGGCTCTGTGTGAAAAAATGAAGTTATATGGTATTTTCCTTGATTGCCCTGTCCAAAGTATAGAAACAAGGCAAGAAGGCTCATCTCAGATAGCATTCCCGGGTTCATTTGGAGTTTAACATGTCAGGTTGTTGAGTGGCTGTCTCACGGAGCTAAGGGTCTGTATTTTGTGCCATTTAAAAGCTAACATTGGTGGATTATCTCTCTGTGTATGAAGAACAATGTTTTGTGCTCCATATTCTTTGCCACACAGGAAATAGCAATACCTGTTGCCTCAAGAGCTGGTACAGAAATGTTTGCAGAAGGCCAAATTTCCTCCATATTGTTAACTAGTTAGGAGCTGGAAAATGTCCAGAGGAGGATATATTTCCTGCAAGTCTTCTAGAATTTTTTTTATAATCCTTAGTGTTACAAACTTCCTATGTTCTTGCTAGCCACATCAATGGACTGACCTCCCCCTGCTTCACTCTTGCTGAATTATATCTTTATGGTGGTGAATCCCACTGGCTAATCCCATGCCTAATGCTAAAAAGTATTTAAGTCGTTTTCTGTCAACTGAAGGATTCTTATTTGACTAGGGTCCTGTCTGTCATCTCTGAAGTACAGCTTTTGGTCTTTGCTTAGGAGCACTCTACCTGAGTACTGGTATACTAAAGCAGTACACTAAGAATGCTGTGAACATGAAGTACACTGGCATGATGCAATCTGTCTTTAAAAATACAACCAGACAGAAAGAACTAGAAATGCTTTCCCATGTTTTATAGTGCATAAACTGATGGCTGCAAGGATCAAAACATCTCCCTTGCCTACAGCTACCTCTAACAACATTGCACATTGGGGAGCTTCTGTACCTTCTGAAGCAGAAGGTTTTAACCACTGCTGAGAAGAGAATTCTGCTCTTAATGGGACATTGATTTAATCCAGTGTGACACATTGTATGATTGGTCATGTCCTCAAGGCTGTGAGAAGGCTTGCATTGCATTTTTCAGTTTCTTCTCATTCTTCGCTTTTATTTCTAAACATTCAGTGGATTGTTTACTCAAAGAGAAATTCTAAAAAAAACCCAAAGTAAACCTTTATGCAATTGCCTGTCCCTTCAGTTCTGTTAAATGCCTTTGGAAATGCGGGAAGCCACACTATTGAGTGGAGTGAACATGCTTGGGAGTCTGAGTTAAGTGTGTTAACCTGGAACAAATCAAGACTTCGGAGATGCAGGACATGCTCTGGCCTCTCAAGTACTCCACAAAAAGTGTACACTAGACTGCCCTATTGCCATTCCCTGCCTTTGAGGGGTGAGAAGAGATCTGGAAAATGGGTAAAAGGCCTACACCAGCAGTGTGTGGAGATCTGAGTGTGCAGGAGTGATGGGAGGTCTTGATTTGTGGTGGGGCTAGTAGAAGAGTAGGGAGGAAGGTAGACCTGCTAAACTAGGTGTTCTTTTTGTTCTAGTGCTCTCTGGCTCATCATCAAGTTCCAAGTATGACCCAGAGATCCTCAAAGCGGAGATTGCTACTACAAAATCTAGGGTAAGTAGTATGAATGGACCTTTGCTTGCCATGAGTAATCTTCAGATATTTCCAAACCTCATCACAAATACTAAAAGGAGATGCCACAGCAGTTGAAAGAGCTAATGTTACCATTCTTAATCTAGGAGATAATTTATCAGAATTCTCAAACGTTGCCATCTTAAGAGTTTGAAACACTTTTTTTCCCTTAGGCTTTAGACTTCTTTGGAAGCTGGCAGTACCTACTGCTGTACAGATACGCTGTGGGGTATTTAGCTGCATGCTGGCTCCTCAGTGTGCTGCAGCACTGGAGAGCTGCAAGTTCTCACCAGAGACTGGCAGCTGTTTTGTCCTGGGCTTAGTGCGGGTTGTTAGCAGCGGCAGTGTGCGCTTTCATGCAGAGCTCAGTTTGGGAAGAAGAAAGGACTAATGTAAAGTAGGTCAGTCTGGCCTCTGTGGAGGAATATAAAACAGCAAGCTGTAGGGTCAGTGGATTTACAATGTCTTATCATCCTGCTGTGTTACTCATGCAGTGGGGCCTTGTAGTTTGGTATCTTGGAGGATGGCTTCTATCACTGCAGTGTAACTCCTGTCCTGATGCTTCATGGTTTTTTTAATGACTGGGAAGGTTTTAAACATTACTGAGTAAAATCGACATGTGTTTCATTCCTGTCTCTCTTGAAGAAGAGAGTCCTGCTGAGGATGCAGTCAGGCTGTTAGCTGCTGTTGAGATAAACTGATTATCTGGAAACTTTGTTTAGAGTACTGTCTACACTGAATAAGTTTTGAATTGAATGGGTAGTGCTGTACCTAAATATTCATATAAAATATCATTCTAAAGATGTCACACCTTGTTATAGGTTAATAAACTCAAGAGAGAAGTAGCTCATATGAAGCAAGAGCTCCAGTACAAAGAGCATGGATTTCAAACACTGAAGAAGTAAGTTTGTTCTCAAGATCTTATTTTCAGTGTAGAACATCTCTGGCTTGGTAATGCATCCCCCTCTACGTTTATAAATAGCTGCCTAAATGAAATATGTTGCTGCTGATATCTTTAGGCATATGCAACTGAAAGCAGTACACAGCCATGAGGCTGTTCTCTCAAATCAATGCCTGTATGTGATTGACCATATCAGAACTGACTTCTTGGCAAAAAGATTTTGAACCAGGATCTTGCCAGTTAAATGGTATTCTGTTTTACTCAGTATTGCTTAATATGTATGACAGAGTACAACCTATCATCTTAACTATAAGTGGTATTGTTTTAGGCCACTGAGGAAAAATTTGGGGTGGAGTGCAAGGGAAGGAAAAGTTTCAGGTACTTACCTCTGTATGAATAGACATCTGGCATGTTTTAAGTAATGTCACTGGTTAATATCTTATTATAAATGTCAACTGCAGTAGAATTCCTTTGAGAAGAGGGAAGGATGAGGCAGCTTGTAATTAGGTTGTGCAAGCAAATACATCTGTGCATGTGAGGTCTGTGGCTGGTTTTTGAAATCATGACTGAAAATAAGGTAATTCTCATAGATGGCTAAGTTGATCCTCTCTGGGTTAGAAACAAGGTAACTAGCAGCAATCTGCCCAGATATACTGTTTGGGGGTTTCTTGTGCATCTTTGTCCTCCCTAAGGAGTCAAAGAGATGATATGGCTAAAATGGGAGTTCTGAAGTTTAATGTACTTCTGAGTGGAGTAACTTAGGTGATGACTGGGGTTCTTTGTTCCTTCTGTTGTCTTTGTCATACTTCTGAGTGTGTTTTTCTTAAAAATTAATGTCAAGATGCCACGCATCTAGTATGATTAAAGTAACTGGACTTTATAAAGTGTTAGCTTACTGTATTTTTTTTTAAATTTTCATGCAGAATTGACATGAAAATGTCTGATACTCAAGGTGGCTACAAACTTGATGAGGCACAAGCCATTTTAAGTGAAATGAAAGCTCTCAAGAAGGCCATCACATCAGGGGAGAAGGAAAAACAAGACCTCATTCAGGTATTGAAACAGGATGACTTTCTAGTATTTTGTGTTGCCATTGCTATCAGATTGAATTTCTGAGAAGTAATTTAAGTATTTTGTGTTTCAGATATGTGATCAAGATTTTTATTAACATAAATTAGTTCTGTATTGTGGTGGGACTGCATCCTTTTTGTTCTTCAGATCCTGGAAATAAGAAGTATAAAATATAGCAACTAACAGTTGTAAGTGCTTGCTTAGAGAGATGAGTGTTTGTCTCGGGGTTTATTGGTCAAGACTAAACCAGTGTGACTACTGCTGTCAAAGAGATCTGGAGAAGCCATGAAAACACTGTGGCCCACTTGGTCTGCCATCTCTAGCAGAAAGCCAGTCCGTCTGGGCTAGATGGTGTTCTAATGCCTGTGGGCTGCTTCGTGCTGTGGGAGGTGCAGTCCAGCCATGCCTGACCTCATGTTTGCAGGGTCCAAGTGCACGCAGTAAACACAGTCAGATCTTAATCATGTAGTTTAGGCTTAAGCTATGTAACTGCTGAGGTACCTTGAGAAGAAGTGAGCTCGCCTCATGACTTTTTATGGTTTTAGAGCTTAGCCAGGTTAAAAGACAGCTTTGTGAATGACAGAGGATCCCAGTCAGACCTGTGGGCCAGCTGCATGTCTGTGGAAAGCTCCAGCCCTTTGATACCCCGGCAGTACCTGGATGTTAGCTCCCAGACGGATGTTTCAGGAAATGTGAGTAATGCGTGAGAAACCAAGTGCATGTGGAGACATTCCTCTGACCTGTATGTAGTACTGCCTTAGTACGAGTTTCCAGGCATGGGTGAGTATCTGTGAAATCATAACTTCTCCTGGTTTAAACTTCAGTGTGACCTTCATTTTTGTGTGCAGTGTTCATGTATCTCTAAAGGCAATCTGCTGTTTCTCTACACTGTCTCTATTAGAACAACCCAGGTCGGAATAAAAGGAAAGTAAGTTTTATTTTGCCTGTAGGTGTAGCTTCTTGTGATACAAATATTCCCTTAGTTCTTTATAGCAGTGATATGCTACTAGACAAGAAACATTCAGCAGCTACGTATGGGCTAAGCTCTAAGGAGGACTCTTCCCTTAAGAGTGTGTTTGGCTTTTAGTGTGTTACAAGTGAGAATGATAGCATACGTGCAGATATTTTGATGCCATCAAACGTGTAGTACTCGTAAACCTTCAGTCCCACTTGTGCAACAAGATCATAACTGTCAGGTTGGTGCCAGCCTCAGCAAGGACTCAGTCAGCACTGTGGGTACATCGTACCTCTCACAGGACATCACAGAAGCCTCGCCTGTGAACCTTTACTTAAACATTTGCAGCCACTTTCCGTCAGGGCCACACATGTGACTGAAGAGCTGCAGATTTGAGCATGATGGGATGTCCCTTTTCTTTAAGATTTTACAACCAAAGCAAGATGTCATCCAAAACAAAATGCAATGCAGCACTTAAAGATTGCAAACAGCATTTAAGAAGAAAAATTACAAAGCTGTTTGTGTCTGAAAATAGAAGCCCAAGATAGGTGTGGTAGATTTTCTTTTTCTGATAAACTAGGCCAAAACCAGCCTCTGAATCTTGTGCGTTTTTAGCTATTTGGAACAATCACAAAAAACTTAAATCAAATATTTTCCTATTCTGTGGTTGGTTTAGCTAGTAAATGAGTTTGACAAGAGCAAGTGTAACTTGTAACATCATCATCAATTTCAATAGGGAATATCAAAAGAGGAGTGGTTACTAAGTTGCTGATTTTATATTTTGTGTCTTAGTTTATTACCAGCAGCAATAACCAGTTGGCTGAGAAAGTGAGATTACGCCTTCAATATGAAGAAGCAAAGAGAAGGTAATTCTTTGGACTGTTGTACCTTTTGGCTGTCACACAGCTTATTCTGAAGATAACATTTCACTAGAAAAGGTGCCACTCACATTGAAACCCAGCATTACTGCTAAATAAATATGGTAATTTTTGAGCAAGTGAGGCAATATTAGATCACAGGATGGAATTAATCAGGTTGAGAATGGGGAAGAGAATACCATTGAAATAGGATGCTCAGAAGGGAACAAAACAGCAATGTATCTGTTTTTACTTATATTGAAGTTGTCTAAAAAACAGGAGGGGGAAGTTGTATGTGCAGCCCTAAGTGAACTCAGTGTAAGTCAGACCAGAAATTTGAAGGAAAGACTAGAGTGACCAGGGTAATATACTAGAGAATACAAAATATTCAGCCAAGATAAGCTGTGCTGATGGTGGAACAATACTATCTACAATAAGAATTTAGAAATGGTTCAAATGAAAAGAAGCAGCCATCTCAATGAATGTGGATTGGAATTCTAGGACTGAGTAGGAAGATCTACATTGCCAGTGGCCTAACAGTAATGGCAACAGTCTTGTGCTCTGCTGAAACACATGAATGGGCCAACATTATCATTCAAGAAATAAATAACCATCCTAGAAATTACTAAGGAGTGACTAATACATGAAGAATTCAGTCTGGCCACACCTGTAGTGGGTTTGCTGCCTGTTGCTAATGCTTCCCGATTCCTAATAAGGAGAACTGCACTGCAAGGCATCTCCTTACCTTATTCAAAATGGAATGAATGTTTGCATGGCTTTAAGTCAGATAAGGAGAAACGTATATTGTGTTAACACCTAACATATCAAAATACGGTCAATGACTACAATTTCAGAGCTCGTCTGCTTTTCTGTAAGAATTCAAGTTTTCACACTCGCCCTCTGATCTGAGATGAATGAAGAATATATTTTAAAAATTCATATCTACTTAGCAGGCTAATTTAGGGAAAAGTTTCCTGGGGTTTGCTTTTTTAATAGATAATAGCTAACTCAACTGTTTAGAAAGTACCTGTATTTTTATGGATAAATAGTTAAACAAAAAACCACCAAGCAATATTTAGACCTTGGCTAGGCTAGTCCTTGTTTGGCAATGTAACCATCAGTGGTGGTGATTTCAATTTTAACTACTCTAAAGGGACTTTGCAATTCCAGAAAAACAAACTTCAGATGCATGGTACAATCTGTACTTGCGATACACGCAAAGAGAAGGATTTTTCTCCAGTCTCTGGTTAGAGATAAGAGCTTTAAGGCTGAGGTTACTCACAATGTTCTCATTTTAGTATATTGGCATGGTCAATAGCCATGTTTCTCAGTAGCATAAAATTTGATCTGTATCTGTGGCCGTTGTCAAAGACTGTGTGTGCGCCCAGCTGCTTTTTAACATGAGCTTACACTTTTCTTCCCAGATGGAGCAATTTTATCAGTTGTCTATTTTTCCAATCCAAGATGAACGTCTGCCTTGACATTCAAATCTTTCTGTGTCTTTTTAAACCAACATTAATATTATTAACCCCTCAGATGCAGTAGTTAATTTTTCAATGTTAAAACTGCTTTTTACTTTTAAGCTTTGCTCATGATTGCAGTCTAATTCACACTGACTTTACATCTTCAGATTGCAGTGGAGCACTCTTACTTTAGCCTGTATTTTTTCCAAGGAGGGGCAAGTGAATAATGACAAACCTAAGATAATTAATATGCTCTTTAAAAAGAAACAGAACTTTTATAAAGGCAGCACAATAGTTCATTTGAAGTAATGATGAAGAGCATACAACACTGCCTTGCAGTTAATGAAGGTTTGATACCTCAAATGTTTGTCTTAGATTATCTACAGATTTTCTGAGTTTAAAAAACATTATCACGAGGAAAGATGGGTCTGAATAGGCATGAATAATTGATGCTAAAATGAAAAGGTCTCCAGCTATATCAGAGCACTGTGGTTTTGGCATAGTCTTTAGTAGGAGCTGCAGAAACAAATACCTTAGCTGCTTTTAAGCTGGAACCATACCATGGATATACTGACTCACAAGGAACCTCCTGCTCCTGTGAAAGTTCCTCCTTGTGATGTTAGAAGTGTTTCCTGTCCCCACAGCACAATATTAAAATGTTCCAAAAATATGATAGAAGAGCAAGTACTTTGCCCATGCACATGATATGAAGGGAGCCAAATGGTGGAAATACATCTGTCTTATTAGCTCTGCATTATCTGGAAAGGTAAAATTTAAGGCCTTGAAATCGAGATGATCCCATGTTAATTAGGTTAGAACTACGAGACTTTTAAAGGGCTGGTGATTTGGAAAGTGGACTGTAGCAGACACTGTTTATAGTATTGTTGTGGACCAGACTTAAGCCACAGATGTATGCGAATATCGTGCTGAACTTCACCACACCGGAACTGTCAGGGTACAATTCTGTGCATTCCCTTACCCACCACTAAGTCCTTTTCTTTCATGACTCGGTGAGACGAGAGCCCCAGAGCAGATAATGTTAAACCTGCAAAAAAGAACAAAGGGCAACCGCAGTGACAAACCTTTAGCTTAATTGGTTTGGAAACTGATAATGGGTATCATGTCAAAAGAGATGTCAGTGCTTACATCTTAACAAGGACATAGCTAATGCAGCATAAATGTAATCAGAGATGCAACTAAATTATGTTGTACAATTTCAGACATATAGTAGGAACTCAGTTGTGTAGCACTTGCATTCTGTGCACTGTTTTAGTTCCTTCAACAGTTAAACTTTCAGCTTGGGTTTTGTGTGACTGGTGGTAACTCTGGGCTTTTAAAAGTATATTTTATAATCTCCTAAGATGGAATATTGCAATGTCACATTTAGCAGCATTGCAACAATGGCGGGTATTTGACTGGTCAGTTTTTAGACCGCACCTCCCACTTTGATTTTCTTTTCTTTTTTTTTTCTGAAGAACAGAGGCTGATCTGATATAGGATTGTTAATTACTGGTTGTGGATGCACATGTTAATGTATGCTTCTGTGGAGATGCTCTGAATGATCTCCAAAGAGACTAAAAATTTTACGTGTTATGCCTATATCACAGATAAGTACCAGCTTTCCCCAGTTAAAAAAAAAAAAAAAAAAAAAACAAAACCAAAAACCAACTTGTTATGACAATGAATAAATCACCCACCTACCTTTTCCAGGTAAGAAGAAAACAGTTAAATAAAACTTGAGCTTCCTGTTCTGTATTTTGTTCAGTCTTGCAAGCTAGGGGCCATCCAGAAAGACTGTGTGGCCTGAGCCCAGTATTGCTGGTTTCTTTGCAATGCAAACCTAGCATGGCTCGGCAATGGTATAGTTCAGACTCAATCAGTGAATGCTGAAGGACTGGAGTTCTCAGCCAAATGCCAGTCTGCAAAGCATTTCTTTTGTAATGATGCTGTTTTATTGGAAACATAGAATACATAAACCTCCTTTTAACCGAGAAGGGGAAAAAGAATGATCATTTACAAAGGGTAAAACTTGAGGTTAGTTTAACAAAGCTGTTGGACTCGGAAATGCATAGAGAACAAATTCCAGTGGAAAAGCCATATCCATACAAATGTATGCCAGAAGTGATCAGATTAATGCCAACCAATCCTCTTAAACTCATATCCCTTCAAAATGCACAGAGGAATTCTTGGATTATGAATTAATGCCACTGTTAATTCTTCATTGGAGCACAGTGTTGCACTTAATCAGGCTCTCAGAAACAAAACAGCTCCTAAGACCACCTAAAAATAGTTGAGCTGCATATCTATCAATTATGGAACATTAATTAGAGTAAGCAACCTGCTGTGGGAAATGAGGTTACAGAAAGTGAGGCTTCTGTTCAGAAAGGTGATCTATCTCCTGTGATGGAGGAGGCAGGTCAGTCTGTGTGAGCCTAATCCTTCACAGGCTCTCAGAGCTCGAGTTCTTCTTGGCCTCCAGAGCTTGGAAGACAAAGCTTTATTCTTCAAGGCCATTCGGCAGTCGTGTAGCTGCTGCTGCCCAGATCTGCATCTTATTACTTACTCCACACACTTTTGATTTTTACTAGCTGGCATTCAGTTTGCTCTGTGCCTGCGTGTGTGCTGGATTGGGGGAGGAAGTGTGCACCATCCAGTGTGCTTCTGCAGCATAAACCAAAGTCTAAAAAGAGATGAATTGAGATAAGTACCCGCAACTATTTGTTGTGCCCAATTTAAGTCCAGTAATTCTGTATCCAGATCACAAAGCCCTTTTCAAAGGGAGATGAATACTGGACTTTCATTTTACATGCACAGCATTTCACTTGCATTTCTTATGTATTTACTAAACCTAAGTGAGAGATTAACCTGAGTTAATCACATGAAGGGGCACGTATGCCTTGGCTCTCTAGTCTTCAGTCAGGCGAATTACATTTGCAAATATCTTGCCTTATATTGCAAGATACTTTTTCTCCTTGTTTGCCTTTGAAGCTTTTGTAATTTCTCCACCACAGCCCATTCTGTCCTCCCCACTCCTTGCTCCTCATCTTTGGTTGTGCGAGTTCCGGAAATACAAGTCCTTGGTAACTCTTTATTTAGCTTTAGCTGTGCTATTGTTTCTCACCAAACTACCATGATCACCCCGTCAGGTCATGAAGAGTTGTAGGTCAATGAGTCCAAAGGAGACAGCTTCGTTTGGGAAGGCTGACATTACTGCCCTTGGTTCTGTATCCTGGTCTACTGCTGGTTTTTTGCTTCCCTCTGTATGTTGCATTGCGAAGTTGATCATTTGTTGAGCTAACTGATGAGCAGTTCAGATACTTGGGAAATCAGGAATGGGCAGATAGCTGGAGTGACCAGCCTCCTTACCTGCCATGACCTGTGCTATCTTCTGGTGTCAAGCAAAGCTCTTGCTAAATTCTAGATCTGTATTGTTGTTGCTCTTCCTGCCTGAGATAATGTGGTGTAGTGCTGAAGGATTAGTGGTACAGACTTTAAACTGAAATCTGGAATGATACCTCTTATGAAAACAGACCTTAAATCTCATGCAAATAAGTGGCTCTGGATTTACGTAGGATCATATTGCCTTTTCAGCTCTACACATCCTCAGGAGCATGTTGCACCAGAAGTAGCCTAGCTCTTTAATGTGTCCCAAATGCTTAGTGTTGAATCAATAGTTGGATTCTTCCAGTAGCAGCATGCATATGATTAACTTCCTCATTGTAAAGACAAAATCAGTTTCTAAACTTTTGAGTAATCACCGATCTTTATCGGTGTATCTGAATCATATATGGAGAGTATACAGTTCTTTTCCATAAAACTGATTAAAGATCAGAGATTTACCGCATGATACTCTCCACACCAAGTACTATGAGGTCATTAGCTGTAAGAAATATGAAACACCCTATAGTATATCTGACAGCTATTTTTTTGAGATCCAGAATTTCTCTTACACTGTTCCCTGACTGGTGGACCCTACAGGTTAGCTAGAGACTTAGCTTACCATTGGGAGAAAATGTGAGTTAAAATCCCATTCTGCATGTCAACCTCCCGGCCGTGCCATCACTTGACAGTGCCCTGCAGAGGAGGGCATGAGGGTAAGGGTAGTTGTCCCTGAGCTGAGGGCCTTCTTCAGGGCAGTAGGAGATGTAGTTAGTCGTGGTTCACCTTTGTGTGTCTGTGGAGCAGTAGCTCAGACGCTCCTCATGGAATAACTGCTTTCTTTTTGCTGCAGAATAGCAAACCTGAAAATACAACTGGCTAAGCTTGACAGCGAGGCCTGGCCTGGCGTGCTGGACTCTGAGCGAGATCGTCTAATATTAATTAATGAGAAGGAGGAGCTCTTAAAAGAAATGCGATTTATTAGCCCCAGAAAATGGACTCGAGGAGAGGTGGAGAGACTGGAGACAGAGAGAAGGCGCCTAGAGGAAGACCTTCAGGCTGCTAGAGACACTCAGAGCAAAGCTCTAACTGAGAGGTAGGTTACTGGGCATAGTTGGACAAGAGGTAATTGGGAGCAAGCAGCAACATCTGGCTCAGTGCTGATAGCAGTGTGCCCTCAGATTTCCAAGGAGACCATTTCTGCTTATAAGGTTTCTGAAATCATCTCCCAAAAGAAACCTCCTGCAAGTCTTACTCCCTAAGTGGGGAAAGGTTGTTTTTGCTACAAATGGATCCTCTATGAGAATGTAAGAAATGCTCAAAATAGCCCAGTATAATATTAGTGTACTATAATGTTTCTATATGCAGCCAGCTTCTCACAGCAGCTTTTTACAGTTGCTGTGCAGTCTGGAGCTTGGTAACTGTCAACAGATGGAATTTTAAATTTTTAAGATTTGTTGTTTGTTCTGAGCATCCTTGTATGTGATTCCTGTAGGAACTGGTATTTGAGAGGGCTGTGGGAGTTGCATGGAATATCCTGTGAATCTGAACTAGCTGAAAAAAATGCCAACTATCTTCCCTAATTTTACTTATGTTGCAGGGGGAGATCTTATGGGAATGTACAGTGAGGATGAATACTGCATTAGGCATTGCCAACAAGTGCTTTACAATCTGGATGTATTAACGTGGGTGGCTATGGCAATGTTACTTTTAGCTGCAGTCTTTTGAATGTATATGGAATAGGCGCGTTGCATTCACGCTCTTCGTGGCTCTATATTTTCATTTCTTCTACATGCTCCGTGTCCAGACTACACCATTTTTCTACATAGTCTTTTCATGGTTTTATCATGCTGGAAAAATTGTAGGCATCTCAGATGTTTCAGCTGCAGGACTTTTACCAGCCTGAAATATCTGTGGTTCGACAAATGTTTCTGGTCTTGCTATAAGATGAACACTGTCGTTTGTGATTTTTAGGAGTATGGTCCAGTTCTAGTGTGCCAAAGAAATAGCATGTTTCTAGAGAAGGATTTCTTGTCTGGAGGCCTGTTAAGTTAGAGAATGAGCACCTAAGTGCACACATTTGTGTCTCAAACCAATTCAGGTGTGAAATAAAACTGAGATGTTGCTAAAGTCCATAATTCATGTAAAGCCATAATGAGATGGTTAATAACTAAATCATGTAAACCCTAGTCATCCACAGGCCTTACTGAAAGCAAATTAAAGCATTTACACCTTTATTAGCACAGTAAGTATAAGAATGCAATAGTGTATAGCAAGCAAAATCTGCCAGACTTTTTTGAGGCCTGATCCTAGAAACATTAACTTTTATAGTACCAGCTGTAATTATTTTCCCTGTTGTGAATGTTTTCAGGATTGAGTCCCACATTTTAAGAGTATTGAAAGTTGGTAAACACCTATGCATCTTGACCAAATTCTGTCCCATGTTACACTGTGTATTCTTACGGACTTTTGTAAGATTTCATAGAAAAAATGGAATTTTCCTTTACTCCTTATTTTAAATAGTAAGTGCTGCTGTAGCTCATTTTTTTTCTTCTATCTTCTCTTAGATTGAAGTTGAATAGCAAAAGAAATCAGCTAGTCCGAGAACTGGAAGAAACAACACGATTAGTTGCAATGTTGCACACTCAGCTGAAAAGGTATGTAACCTTTTACAGAAGTTGTAGGTGCTTTAACTGCAGATGGTGTAACTGCCTTTCTCTGCTAACCATTTAATCTCCCAGCTGAGAGGTCTAAAAGGCCTTTCAGTTATAGTAGTGACCCAAGACCCCTGTGTAGTCAATGGTAAGAGAAGCCTCGAGTGTTATACGTCCCACTCAGTTTAGATGGGTGCTTTAGATGGCATAAATAACCTCGTGACAGTGCCTCTGCCTCACAACAGAAGGAGTTCCCGCAATCCCTTCTATTTTGGACATGTAACATTTAGGTGACTAAGGATAGCTGAGATTTTTTACTAATGTTTGAATTACTGAAGTATTTATTAATATAAGTATGTTAAAGACAGCTTAACAGTCACACAGAAAGTGAAGTGAACCTTAGTAATGCAACTACACGTTAATGTATGAGTGTTGTAATAATATTTCTCTAAATGAATTCCAACTGTGCTGTTGCTTGCAATGTAGACAATGTATTGAGATATCCCTGAATCTGTTGTGGTTCATATGGTATATAGAAATGTTTCTGCAGTCATAATGTGGTCTGGTTGTTCAGGCTGTAGTTCTGGAAGAGCATAGGATTACTGTTTCCAGACAAATGCATGACTGCAGGCAGTAAGGCCAAATCATCATTAGCTAAAACTACGTTTTTATCTTTTTGATTAGGAAGAGAGTTTCGTGGTGTTTTTGTTTGGTTGAGGTTTTTCCTGTCAGTGTGTACTGAATTTACTCTGTTTGTAGCTTCTGCTCCACTTGGATTCTATTTCATTTTGTGAAGATGACACCGAAAAGACTGGAAAGAAATCATAGTGCAAGACTGACATGTAAATAAGCCATCATGGAGAATAGCTATCTGTGATGCTCTTATGCAGTGGAAATGCATCATGCTTTCATTTCATCTAGCTGATTAGGGATCTTTTGAGGTGACCAAGAAGCATGTGAAACTAATTTCTTCCTAACTCTGTGCCCAGTGTTCTTGGCATGCTCCTTTATAAGAATAAGCATTTGTTATTAACCCCATAACGCAAAATGTCTGGCACTCAAAGGTATGCACAAAATTAGTTTGAGCCCAGTTCATTGATAGGAAAAGATTAATTAAAAACTCCTCCCTTTTGATAGTGAAACACACTGAAAAGCTGTAAATTTATTAGTCCTCGCCAGATCTATATATACTGCTAAAATGCAAAAACATCTTTCAGTTATATTTCACCCAAAAGCTTTTTTGAACAAACATGAGGCAGTTCACATCTATCATACAAATGCAGAAGACATTTTGTGCCAAAATTGTACTAAATTCTGCATACTTGCCTTTTTTGCATAAGGTCATGGGCATAATTATATGAATGCAGCTTCTAGCTTTTACCCCATAAATAATAAATAAGGCATTATTAGGCTTATTAACATCCTCACTGTTTTTCAGTGGGGCAACTTAAGCCACTTATACATATGCAGGAATTTTTCAATAGCTAGTCCATATCTGATGTGAGGGTTAAGGGTCTTTAAACAGTCAGTAACAAGGAAGTTATTTAGTATCTGGAGCGAGAGTGTTGGTTTAAATGGAATTTCTAAGGATGGTATATGCTGTAGTTGGTACTGCAGGATTTGTTGGGTCTTCTGGGTGGAAAATGGTGTGCTGTGGGGTCTGAGATTTCTCATCTGAACAGACTTCTATTCAGCACCTGCTTAAAATTAATTTTGCTGTCAGTTAAGTTCTGAAACTAGATCTCTAAGGATAAATAATTTGTGTGAACTGATTTCACAGCCCAGCCCCAAATCTTCCCCTTGCTCTCCTGGCCTTGGATTCCACGTAGCAGTCTTTCACATAAGTAAATCCTGCCACTTTTCTGGTAACTACTGGCTGTTGCAATCTCTGGGGGCCAGCTCCAGACAGCTGTGATATTGCCTTTTGGCTGAGGGTCCAAGACTGAGGCAAATGAAAGAAAATTTCCATACGGACAGACCGTTAGTTGCAATAACTTCATCTTCTTGCATGGGCCTTGTTGGTTTTTGTGGTCTGCTCTGGAGATTGCAAGGAACTGTAGACTTTTTCCAGACAGATGTGGGAGGAGAATGTTGTCACTAATTTTAATTGATTTGAAACTATTCATTAGAGTTGTTTTGGCTAAACAAGGGCTCTTATGAGGTTGATATGGTGAGTAGAAAAATGTGTATGAACTATATTATTCGTATTGAAAAGTGACCCAACTTTTCCACTGGGTAGACTGTGGTTCTGGATTGTTGTGGGGACTAATGCATATGGCCTGAGCTAACCAAGCAAAATGTACCATGTGGGCTTAGAGATTTGGTGACATTGCAGTGTTTCCTTGAGAAATCAGGAGATACACTATAATGGTTTTCTGACTTGTTTCTTTCAGTCTCTCCACCAGCATGCTTTCCCTCTCCTCGAGCAGCAGCCCTGGTTCTCTTGCATCTAGCAGAGGATCTCTTGCCACCTCTAGCCAGGACTCATCCACCTCAGCCAGTTTCACTGATCTCTACTACGAGCAGTTGGAGCAGTTGGACTCGGACTATCAGAACCAGCTTGACTTGCTCTTAGAAGGAGCCACTGGATTTAGACCGTCAGGCTGTATCACCACTATTCACGAAAACGAAGTAGCGAAAACTCACAAAGCAGATACCACCAGTCGCATACAGGTCCTGAGATCATTGTCTGGTACTCCAAAATCCATGACATCACTATCTCCAAGGTCATCTCTCTCTTCTCCATCTCCACCTTGCTCTCCACTGGTGATAGACCCACTCCTAACTGGTGATGCTTTTTCAAGCCATATGGATTTTGATGATGCAGAGATAAGTACAAATCTCTCAGAACTCACCCTAAACACTGGGAGTGGCAACTGTAGACTGGAAGAGCCTAGAGCAGGAGATAAACATCTAGGTCAAGGTATGGTAACAAACTATTCGCATGCACATGCATGCATTTATTTGTAATGTAGTTTATAAAGCATTGAGAAGCAGTATTTCAAAAACTGTCAGTCATCTTGATATCTTCGTGTTGAAAAGTGTATTCAGCTGTGTGTTCTACCTTGCTGGAGGGAAAAGGTTGGTGTTTTAATTTGTACACAAAAAATACTGCTGATCTGATGAGACTTACAGAAGACTGTACCTAGGTGTGTTTTTAGTGTACTTATATGCATGTGTACACAAATTACAGGGATTTCATGTGGTTGTGGTGGGATGTCTGGTTTAATTTGGCACTTAAGTATTCATAATGTCGTCAAGTGTTTTGTGTCTGAAATTGGGAGGCATGTAATGCTGTATTGACACAAACTTTCTGGCCAAGCTTTTGAGGAAGACTGGAAAAGGCATTTAGTTTAATAGTTAACAAATGATAATAAAACTCCTTCCCCGCCACCTCAGCATACACAAAGTCTTGCTCTGGTTCCCAGCAAACCAGTGGCAATGAATTTATTAACTTCAGCTGAGCAGACATGTCAAGGCTGTGCTTGAATTTCTGCTGTTTTGAGGAGGATGGTCTCTTAGCAACAAAAATGTGTTTAGATTGTGAGCATGATAAAATAAGACATTTAGAGATAGTGGATGTTCTCATACATGCATATGGCTTATTGGTGGGTGGGAAGGGTTCATCCCTTCTTAGAATGGTAGCTGGGCTGAAGTGGATGGAAAGCAGTAGGCAGCAGTCAGGGCACTCGTGCTAGAGCCTTTTCGAAGCCCTTGTGACTGTAGTTGGGTTAAATCCAATGGAGATGAGTGAAATGACTGGATTTGTAACTGAAATGAAGAGCTTTAAAAGCAATATAAACTTGCAAGCTATAGTTGTATGAACCAGCAGTGCAGTTTGTTTCTGTTTTTCATAGGATTATAAAACAGCCTGTGTGAAGAAAGGGAACTAGCACCCTGTTATCACTGCCTTCTGCATTAGGAAGGCTGATACTATTTAAAATATAATGCAAGACGTGTGCAGTTCTTCCCCTTTGAGCTACCATCTTCCTACAAGCAAAAGGTATTATGCATTTGAGTAGGAAACAGAAATTATTCCTGTTAGAACTGGGTGCTTATTAGTTTTAACCTTTTTAGCTCTTCAAGATTTGTCAGGGCTGTTAAAGTGAAAGCTCAGGTGTTAAGCAGATTAAGTGATTATTGCTGTTAGCCAGTCAGCAGACAAAATAATCGCCATAAGTAGTTTATTTCAGGGCAATAATGAGATGAGGTTTTACTCCTCAGGCATTTTGGGGGGGTTCAGTGGAACACCCGAAACATGGTGGCTGGATCTGGGGTGGTCAGTATTTGGTGTCATGGGCAAAGCATGCTCACATGTTCCTGTAAGTAGAGCTGAATAGTATATATCTGAGGGATTTGCTGTTTGTTTCTGTTAAAACAGGACCTCTGCCACCTTTGAAGCTAAAGTAAGGTTTTCTTTCTCACCTGAGACACTGAGTGATGTAGGGGAAACTAATAGCAAATGCTGGAAACTGGCAGTCTGGTGCACTCTGTGGAAATGGCGTGGATGTGAGGACAGTGCACAACATGGCTCTTCAAGGCCTTGTCATGGTGTGTCCACGAGAGCCTATGGAAGGGGAAGTGGCAGGGAGTGAAGAGCAAACTTTAAATTCTTGATATGGGTGGAAAAAAAGGTAAAAAAACATAGGAAGTGCTATCTGCCTGCTTGGAAATATAGAAGAGAGTTGAGTCATTTCTGAACTTTTCCATACACCTTTTTTAGTGTGATACATCTTTAGAAACTTAAAACAGAAAATCCAAATTTTGTGTTAACTAGCCACATGAAAAAGTTACAGGTTCAGTGTGTGTGTAAGACTTGCAGGGCTGACCTTCCAAGTCCGTTGCAAAAAAAGTAAGGAAAAGGATGGCTGCATGATGAATCCTTTTCAGGGAACCTGTTCACCTTTATTCAGGTTTAGGTTTTAGTATTCTCCTGTACAAACAGATACTTGCTTTGTTGCTAGGTTTTGTGCACCCTCTGTATTTGCCCCCCTTGGCCACAAGGTGCTCAGGTGAAATGGCCAAAAATGAAGACTTTCTGGGTGAAATGACTAAATGGCGTTGGCAGTTGAAGGAGAAAAAAAGGTTGAGCCTGATGGAGTCTGTGGTGTCCTTCCTGGCGAGGAAGCCTCGTGCAGAGGGATTCATGGAGTGGCGTTTCTGGGAGCAGTGTGTAAAACTCAAACAACTTGGTCTAGAAAGCCAGCCAGCGGGGGGGAAATTATTTTCATGTCAAAAACTGTGGGATGGGGGGTACAAAGCAGCACTAAGGAAAGAAGAGACGTAGTTTTGACCCTGCCTGAATACCTCCAGCATAGCCCACAGTATGTGGAGTACAGCAGGGGCCAGGCCCTTGCACGCAGCAGGAGGGAGGATGGATTAAACTGTGAATGCCAGTATTAAATGGATCCATTTGTTTCAGTTAATGACTGATATATTGTGTTACACATGCTAACTTCTATTCGTGTGGTTTGGCCTATGGGGAAAAGGTCTGGACATTTATTTCTGTCCAACAGTTCCATGGGAAAACCAAGATGAAAAATACTATTCAGCGGTGTTGTCAAAAAATACATGGATAATGGACCCAGATTGCACACATGCACTCAATATATTGGTGTTACCTGTAGCACCCTCTACTGTTGACTGTAGAACAAGTCCTTATACTATTCCATAACCATGTTGAGCTTGCACACTTTTTGCCCCAATGTTTTTTCAAACCTGTTTTTAATTCTTTAAGTAGCTTTGAGACTGTGCAAAAAAAACCCCACCCCACAAACTGCTTTGTAATAAAGAAAATATGGGATGGAAACCATATATTGGTTTGGGGGTATGTGCTTTCTGAAGGCTGTGGAAAGAGGGACCACTTCTGAAAGACGAAAGCCCCTTGGAGAGGGGGTGTGTTGCCATGCTTCTGCTGTGGGTTTACAGCTGCTCCCAGTGTGACAATGTGGTACCTCCTTACCCTCAGAGCAGGTGCCCCAAAGCCCTGCAAGAGAGGGGGAGCCAAGAGCTGGGTACGTCCCAGCCTTCATTAGCCACCTTGGCAGACAGAGCTCTTCAGACTCTCAGCTGAAGAATATCTCTGCAGAAATCTGATGGCTCAGGTGAAAAGGTGCAGAATTTGCAGAAGTTTCCAGGGCATATCTCCCTGTTTTGTAGCACAAGAAATCTAAGTGAGGTAATATCTCTGTGCAAAACTCCCTGCTTCAACTTCCTCAGTTTCTCTTCCCTATCTCCTTTTCCTTTTTCTGCATGTGGCTGCTACCTTGAATCCTATAATCTCTCTTCCTGTGTTTAGCCAGTTAACCTGGTCTTTCTGGACCCATCTTCTGTCCTGTGTGCACTAACCTTTTGGGTTCAGGGGTAGGCAGGTGGTGTGGTTTTGGGGTTTTTTTGTTTTGGTTTGGATTTTTGCTGTTTCCCCTCCTTGAAGCTAAAATTTTGATATAAGCTCTACAGGTGGGATATACCCCTCAGCATAATCCATAAGCAGCCAGAGCTTGGTCAGTAGTAGTATTTGCCTTGCTGCTGCTCTCTGGGGTAGCTAGGACCAGAAGTCCTACTGCCTGCTTAAGGGTGACTTGCAGTAGAAGTTGTTTTATTGGTTCATATTTATAACTTCACTGGAATTCACAAGTTCTGCTTCTTCTGCATGTTGCCCATCTTGTCATGGGTACCTCTCTATCCTTCAGGTGCTTTGAAAACCTCTCCTCACATTGCCTGTGAGGACCTGCACCCATGGAAGTGCTGGATGTATCCAGTTGTAATGCACTCAGCACAATCAGTGTGTAACTTCAGCCTGTGGGTATGCTACTGTAGGACACAAGTGTTGAATCAGTACTGACTGTGCAATGAAGCCCTGGTCTCACCTCTACCACATAGGCGGTTCCTCTGGTTGGCCCGGAGCTTTTTGTTCTCCAGGGCAGTCCAGCGGCACGTTCCCGAAGCACTAACTTGACGTTGGCTGTTGAGCACAGCCTGCCTTAACTGTGTCCTCTGTCTTCAGAAGCGCGCTGCTGCTTAACAATACTTGGGTGGGGAAAAAACGCAATTCAAGGGGAGGATAAGATAAAAGCTGCTCCTGATACAGACAGTTTGTTTTCATTAACACCTGTTTTTTTATTTTCCTTTGTGCTTTTCTGATAGGTATAAATACAGCTGGAGGGACGGCACTGAAGGTGGCGTGTGTGTCAGCTGCAGTGTCTGATGAATCTGTCGCTGGAGATAGCGGGGTATATGAGGCGTCTGTACAAAGGTAGACATCAGATCTCTCTCTAGGAAGAAGCCAATGACTCAGCTTTGCACACAGGAGTCAGCTGGTATAATGCTGGTTATGATCGTTTTTGTAATTTGGTGGCTAAAGTTCTCAATCTCAGATTTCTTAATACTTCTGAAAAAAACTATGAGCAGGTTGAATTTGATTATCAAAATGACCCTTGCTTCCTGTAATAGAAGCAGCTGAAAGCAAGCTCACAGAGAACTGTTTGAACAGCGGGTCTGTTTGTGAAGGTGCTGGTAAGCTGTGACTGCTGCCTTGATGGGGGTAGCGGAGCCATCTGGCAGGTGTAAAGTTCCTCTCCTGTCAGTCAGCCATTCTGGTGTCAATGACAGCCCTCAGTCAGTGTGAGAGGGCTTTGGGATGTTTAAGGAAGATAGCAGAAGCACCTTGAACTGCCTCATGGATGTGTACATGCTGCGATGCAGTTCCCACGTGCTTGGATCCAGTATGTGATTTCTGCAGGACTTCTCCCCCTAAGTTCATAGCTTAGAGCCGGAGCTGGGCATCACTGCTCTTGTTGGGTTTCTGGACCTCCCTTACTGCTTGCTAAAGCTATCTGGGGTGGTTTGATAAAAAGTTCACTGGAAGGTACTGATCTTATTGATACCTGGTTTGGCTGCGTCCAGCATGGATTTTGTTACTATTTTATTGGCATTGAGATGAATTATGGGATCACTTGTTGCAAGACACAACTGTAGAGGTGAAAAATTGCTCATTTTGTATCCTTCCCATTCATTCATTATCTTCATTAATTCTCTAGATAGATAAGTAGTTTTTTACATTTAGAGCACAATTCACTTTGACAAGAACGTGCAATGCTTCTGTAACGTAGACCTCATGGGCACAAGCCAGGCAGACAGTTGCGTGTCTTAGGCCCCCTGTGTCCCTCAACCAGGACAGGGAGCTCTGCAGAGAGGGGAGGAGGGATAACATGTGACAATTAGAGAAGGCATCCCATGCACACTCCCACATCTGATGTTACTTAATGTTCTTTGGGTTATTGACTTACCAACCTTTGTAATGACCACAGTATCGTTTTGATGCCTATAATAAATGGTGAGGGTAGGATGAGCAATGTGTTTGTCCTCTGTAGCTGAAATGTAATGAAATACAAGACAGTGCTAAATAATATGGAAAATACTTAGAGAGGAATGTTAATCCTGTTTTAATATGCTACAGTACAACCTCTGAGTCAATTCGATAATGAATGTAGTTTTGGGGACTTTCAGTGCATAAAACTTTGGAGGAGTACATTGGGAGGAAGATGATGCAGGTAGTTGTTTCAAGGAAGACCAGTCAGTGTACTCCATCACTTTTCATGTGCTTATGGAAGTTTGATTTCTTAAAAAACCCAAATCTTGACTTAAATCTAGTCAAACTTGAGAATTTTTGCTGTCATGATGCAGGACAGGATTGCAGTGGTTAAGTCTTATTTCTGTTGCTGGGAACTTGGTGTCTTTATTAAATCCATTCAAGGGAACCCTTTAAAAATCCCCCACCGCCTTATTTTTGCACAGTCTTTTGTGTGGCTTTTTTTGGCAGTGAAGGGGGAAGGCATATTACTTTCTGCTGATAAGCACTGTAATACATACCTCTAAGGATGATTGCACTTACTTCTTAAATGGGCTTTCTTTTAGCTACTAATTTTACAAAATCCATATACCCAACCCGTGAATGGAAGGGAAAAGGTCTTGTATCACCTAAACGCTAGCACTTCAATAAGAGGAAAATCAAGTCCTTAATTTTCTTTGATTTCTTTCAGACCATGTGTGTCAGAAGTAATGGTGTTTGACAGTGATGATACAGAAGCAGTTGGGACAGCTAAAGTGCAAATTGCAATGAGGTAAGTGCTACACATTTTTATTGGATTTTCCTTCCAATGGAAAGAATTATATATGGGATTTAAAAGATCGCGCTTTCTGTTTTCTTATCCTGTTCATCCTGTCCTATTAGTATTAACTAACTAATGCCCTCTTTGTAGTGTAACTGAGAATTGCACTCGACTCTAGGAGGTCTTTGGCCCAGTTATCCTCTTTCAGTGCCATTGTCAGTGGCAATCAACTGGTGATAGTGTGGTATGAGGGTGCAAACTAGCAATGGGAGCACTGACAGTGCTGGGCTGGAGAAAGCCTTTTGCTGGCTTGCAGTCTCCGTCGGTGTGCAGCTTGTGAGGGAAAAACTGCTCAGAGTAAATGGCATTCATAATTGTTGACCAAACCTGAATCCCACAAGTAGTGGGTAAGGTATAGGAAGGTAGGCACAGAGGCATCTTCCTTAAACAACTTAGTGGAAGATTATTTATGATTTGAGGAAAAATAAGTAGCGCGGAACTCTCTTGTTGTGGCCACCAACAGTAAAACAATGGTTACCAGTAACACTTTGACTTTTGTACTTCAAGTATTTCTACTTGTAAGTTTTTTATATTACAGTCATTATATAAGGTCTTTCAAAAGGTTTTAGTTACGATACAGCAATTTAGATAGACCCCAGGAAAAGCAATGTCTGTTAAGTCAAACCTGTAGTCCATTGTACCTGAATTCTGAAGTTCTGGATGTTCTGGACTGTTCTAAATTCTGGATGTTCTGGTAGCAAAACTTTATGTAATATGAAACTGATTTTGTTTTAAACTATAGGCAACCCATGGTCCCATTATTGTTTTGTCTTGTTTGTAAATTTTTAATGTTGTGAAACAACAAATTAAACAAGTGGAATACTCACTCATGGAATCCAATGCAGACTTCTCTAATAATAATGCTTTTTTGTGTCTTTCCAATTCAGATATGATGACAAAAATAAACAATTTGCAATACTGGTCATCCAGCTGAGTAATGTTCCAGCACTGCTGTTACAACAAGATCAAAAAGTGTAAGTGGGTGAAATAAACACACTTGAAATATTTGTATGAGATTGCAGTGGGAATTTGTGAGATGTTATTTTTTGTTTATTCGTGCTCTTAAAAATTTACCCTTTCTGAAGAGCTTCTACACTTTGTTATGTGTAGCAACATTCATGAACTAATAAACCCACAAACAGAAATAAGAGACATCTTTTTTCTCAAAGGTCTGTATTTGCTAGGAAAAGTCTTGCCTGGAATTAGTACTAGCCAGCAAGGTTCTTAACTGTAGCAGTGCCCAGAGCAACTGCATTGAGTGGAGAAGGGGGCATTTGTTCTGCTACAAAACTCATCCTTGGACACCTGCACAGATGCATGTGTGGGGGAAATGTACAGCTTCTAGTACGCTCATTCTAGGCACAAGTTTTTTAAATTCAGCTATGTGCCGAGTAAGCTGACAAAAATTTTATTTATTTTTACGTAGTTGTTTCTACCTACAAAAGGGTATGTTAGCAGTGTGACAAGTTTCACGGACTTAAACAACCATGTAAAACATAATCCCATGATGTTTGATTACAAGTTCAGAAGGATGAAGACTACAGCAACTCGTGACACTTCGTGTCTCTGATGTTGTGATGAGATGTTCCTTTTTTCTCAGTTGACTGATAGTCCAAAGAATAGGATAGGACAGTAATGTCCACAGTGCTTAGGATGAATTTCACTTACAGATTTATGGAGCTCTTGCGATGGAGGGAACTGCAAACCTGTATGGTAGTATTGATTGCAATGCTTTTTTTCAATAGGAACATTCGCGTGGCTGTCCTGCCCTGTTCAGAAAGCACAAGCTGCTTGTTTCGCACAAGACCAGTGGAAGCTTCAGACAATCTTGTGTACAATGAAGTATTTTGGGTTTCTATCTCTTACCTGGCTTTACGCCAGAAAACTTTAAGAGTCGATGTTTGCACTGTAGATAAATCTCACCTTGAAGAATGTTTGGTTAGTATTAATCTCTATTTTAATATCTTTGTGTGTGCTTGCTCTTTTGAATTACACAAAATTTTAAACTTTGAAATATGGCAATTTCTGTGAAAGTTTTCTTGATAATCCTTAGCTATATGATCTCTCCCAGATAGTGTTCTTTGCAATAACGATTTTGATCAGGAAAAAGAAAAATTATTAAATAAATATTTTGTTACAGAACTACTGGTGACTTTGTCAGACTACTAGATTTCCCTTCTCTCATGATTTAATGTGAAACCCTACCTATTTACCTTCCTTTTGGAAACATTTGTTGTAATGTAATTGAAAATGGACTTCTTAGAGGAATGTGGAAGCCACTGTAGAATATTAACAATCTCTAAAAGATTTTTTAAAAACTGCTATTAATCTACACTATAAAATCTATACGAGTATAGTTTTTTTGAGTGCTAGAATTGCCATAGGCAGCCACCCCCTGTTGTTAGAAGAGCTTTTTTGTTGCTCAGTGTTACCTGAGCAAGTTGATTTTAATAGAACTATTTCTGGATTGTTGTACTCCAGAACATGAGTAGGGTGTGTTGAGCTGGGACATAAGCAACCATTAAGTTACAGAAAAGTTGATGTTTTGTCCTGCACGTGTTCTGTAGCATCTCCCTTGGCTGGAGGGGTACATGTTTTATGGTGCTTCTGCATTTCTTCCTTCACTTGCTTTGCAAAGTACACTTTGGTTCAGGAAAGCATGTGTTTTCCAAATGGGGTTTTTCCTCTTTTGGCAGCATGTACAGTCCCACGGTACCTGACCTCCAGGTGGGAGCATGCTAACTTGCAGGAGGTGTGCTCAGCATGCAGTCTGCTGGACTGGGCTGGTGTAATGGAGTCCACTCACACATGGATTAGATAAATTGCAAATCAGTTTTACTTTGGTTTTGAATATGTCAGGATGTGTACTAAATGTAATGCAGTAAAAAATGGCAAGGCAGACGAAGAGGAATGGAATACAGAAAACTAAAGCATCTTGGTGTGAGGCAGTGATTTTTGTCAGCCTTGCTTATTTCTTGAAAGGGAGTCTTCATCCCCTGTTCCTTTCTCCTTTTCATAGAATCATAGAATTGTTTAGGCTGGAAGAGACCTTGAAGATCATCCAGCCCAACCATTAACCTAACACT